TTTACCACAATTTTTTTACGTTTACGGTACCTAAGTGTCTAAGTGTCTGTCAAAAATATGTATAATAAAAATTGAGAATGTGATAAATGTGGTCTAAGAATCAACTCAAACTTTCTATAATTTTTTCTTTTTTATACTTCATAGCTTATAATGACAATATCCTAAGGAGTGATTGCATATAATTATTAGCATAACATTGCATGTATTTTATACAGAAATAAGTAATAATGATATACCTTTACTATTCCCTTTATTTCCTATACAGGGTCTTCATCCTCAAATGGGTACACCTCATGCTAAATTCACAAACTATTCCTTTGATCTCTTGGAGTTTATGAATCTAATGATGTCACTTGGGGACAGAGTACAGCAAAGAAAAGCTGCTTATTTCTCTCAGAGAATTTTTACAACTTAAATAACAATTTTAATAATAGCAGTTGAGCAAATAGCTAAGCATTAATTTTATGTACACATTGGCAAATATGAATCATTATCACTGCAATAAGTTAAGAAGCAGCAAAAGGCTTGTTCTTGATAAACCTGTCCAGTATATCAAGGGCCTATTTAATACAAGCAACAAGAAAGAAAGAGAAATAGAAGAGAGAAAGTTGAGTCATAAAAGATGCTATATAAAAATAGGCTGACCTGTTTAGGTACAAACATTGGTACTTGATGTCCAGCATTGTTAACCTCCAACAAAGTCAAATCACTATAAGCCTTCACTTCACCAGCCTACATAGCAATGTATACACAATCATAAATGTAAATACATAAGATTTAGTTATTACTTACAATTGCCCCATCTACTATCCATGCTTTATAGCTTGCTGAATTGAACTGGTTCTATTATATGAAAAAATATAAAAAAAGTATATTTTTCCTTCTTTTACTTTTCCTTCCCATTCCACTAGTTTAGTCCATGCTCTTCCTCCAAAGTAATTGCAGACATAGTCCCATCAACACTACATAAAGCATATAATATAATTACTGTATCAATAAGACAATATATTTAGAGATGAATACACGCACACTTTTATTTACCTCTTTTTTTTCTTATAACACCATTGAAAGGGCAGACTTGAAGCTCAAAACTTCATCATTAATGAGCTGAGAAAAAGCAGTGATAATTATAATAAAATCAATTTCATGAACATAATACATTCTTTTCAACCAGTTCACTACACATTTGCCATTGGTGTGTACCAACTCCAAGATCTTCATGTACATCAGAGCGATTAAGAAAATAAGTTAACTGATTATACAGCAAAAGGAAGGGCAACAAAACAACACATAATAGAAGGAGAGAATGTAAATTAAATGGTACATGCAAAAAAGGAAAAGAATTTATCCTTACATTAGAAATGTCAAAGCATCCAGGAACAGGACAGTCTAGTTTGATATCATAAGGATTGATGCTTCTTCCTAGCTTCTTCTGTGCTTCATTTAGTATAAAGTCGGACATTTTCTCACATTTGTCATAGGCTTCCTCATACCTTTTAGCTATAATCAAATCTATTATGAATACCAAAATTATAAATAAGCAAATATAAATTATTATTTTACATACCTCTGCAGGCTGGGTACATGTACATT